AGAGAGAGAGAGAGAGAGAGAGAGAGAGAGAGAGAGAGAGAGAAAGAGAGAAAGACAGACAGACGGACTTGCAGCATGTCAGTGGCGGGGCGCAGACCTCCAACAAAAAGAAGAAGTAATTTTATCAGAATACAAGAGTGTTTTCTTTCTGAAATCCGAATAGAAAGTGTAGAGTCTGTATTCGAACTCGAATGCAACGTGTACGTGTTCCATTTGAGGAACTCTGCTATTCGAGAATTCGAGAAAAGTGGACCTGCACCGTTTCAATTTCGGAAAAGGACTGCGGTCTCCGACTCGCAGCTACCGGTCCTACTCGGTCCTCGCTCTTGCAATGCCCCAAAACCTCAAAATGCCCACCCTCCGACGACCACCAACGTTGAAATTTGATTGACGTTGAACGTTGAAATGTCTCAGGGGGGGAAAACGCAACCCTGACGGGCTGCGAACTTACCGCAGGATATGCTCATCCTCAAACGCAAGTCTCCCCTCGCAACCTATGGTGCATGGGCACTTTTTCTGTTGGCTCTTCATTTCTGTCATTCTGCATCTACATCCTTGTACTACCTTTTTTCCCCCGAGACAACTTACGGTCATTATAGCTGTATTTGGGGTATCTTTCACCGACTTTCAGTCTAAATACAGCTATCATGACATTTCGTTGTATTCGGGGGAATAAGGTAGCGCTTGAGTAGAAGCCCTCCAACGACTACATTTCGCAGCAATTTTTCTGAAGCTGTGACTTGCATGCTGCCACAATTTTCTGGGCTCTACCTCCGGAGCAACCGATAGCCAAAAGGAGGCCTGTACCCGCTTTTTTTTTTTTTTAAGCTAGCTTTATTCTTCTATCATCTATCTCATCTTCTTGCAAGTACTCATCGATCTCATCTTCTTGCCAGTACTCATCTATCTCATCTATCTCATCCTCTTGCTAGTCTATGTATAATACGGGGGCACACCCACCAACCTGGATCTCTCCCTAGCCCAGGGGGTACGTTGGCACCACAGCAGTGGTGCAAGAGCAAGGCTGTACGAGTCCCTCACCATGGTGATGACGGGTGGGCAGGCATTGCCGATGGGGGAAATTGGCAGTGCTAGCGTCGAGCAATGGCCAGTCACTGCACCTCTCCCTAACCCCCCCCAACCCCTTCCCACCCCAGAGAAAAGTGCCTAGGAAGTACTCGTGGTTAAATCGAGCAAGGCCGAATAAATTCGGAAAAGTCATAAAACCTCCCCGCCTCGGTTTCCCCCGCGAAAAAGGTGCCGCAAACCCCAAAATCAATTTCCGCGTCTTTTTGCACCCTTGCAAAAGTTTAACACTTTCCCGCCATTTTTACACAGCGGCCTTTACCGGCCCAGCCAGTGTGCAAAAATGACACCAAAACTGATTTTGGGACTTGGGGCATTTTTTTTCTCGTAAGGGGGAAAATGGATACATATTTTGAAACTTTTTTTTTTTTTTTTTTGAAACAAGCTCCATCTATTGGTGGGGAGCAGCACCTTCTGGAAACAGGGTCCAGCATCCCATAGATACAACCATATCCTCACAAATTGGCACAAACTGGGAACCGGTCCCAGCGTCCCATAACGAGTACGTTCAGAAAACTTCACCATAAAATTTCATGAAAATGAGACAAGGAACTACTAGAAAAATCTAATTGGCCTAAGGATGGAAATTTGGAATATGAGATACCGGGGCGATTACCCGGCTTTGGCTCGGAGAAATTGAAGCTACTTCAGACACGTCTATAACAACTTCATGATTAAGCAAAATTCATAAACGAATCGGAAAACCCCCCATCAATCCACTTTACCTCACTTCGGCAAGACTGACTGCAGCAGAGCCATCATCTCTGCTGCTGCTATGCCATACTCCCATCCTACCAGCTAGCCCCCTCACTGGTAGGACGCGTCATAACCCACCATCTTCTCCCACTCACCTTGTTT